AATTGGAGATAATCGGTAAAAATTTAGATATAGCTCCCATATATATCTTCGTCCGATTTGCCTTTTATTGTGCACCAAACGTGTTATATCAGCCCAAATAGTATGAAATTTTGCACATACAACCAAATTAGGCCTGAAAATAAGAATGCCAAATTTGATCGAAATCGGTTCAGATATAGCTATAGCTCCCATGTATATTGTTCATCCGATTTGTTATTTTTGTACTCCGCAGCCGTAATATGCACTCTGTAACAACAATTTTTGGGGAAATATATCAAATGCAGCTCATAAATACCTTTGCTAAATTTTATCGAGATCGGTTCGGATTTGGATATATCTCCCATATATAACTTCGTCCGATTTACCTTTTATTGTGCACCAAACGTCTAATGGGATGGAATTTGGCACATACGATCGAATTGAGTCTAGAAACTAGTATGCCAAAATTGATATATTGTTCATCCGATTTGTTGTATTTGTTACCCACAACCGTAATATGCACTCCGTTACAACGACATTCAGGGAAATATATCAAATACAGCTTAGAAATATATTTGCCAAATTTTATCGAGATCGGTTTAGATTTGGATATAGCTCCCATATATATCTTTATCTGATTTCAAATTAATTTTGCACCAAATGGGCAATACAAGTCCGAATTTAAAAGATACAAATGCTTCCGTATATTTAGTCCTTTGAACTTTAAATTATAATTATAATCATAGCGTGTATGATTGTATTCTTCCATAAAAACTTTTAATTGTTATGTGGAGCTCTACTAAATTAGCAAAGTGGTGCAGGGTATCATAAAGTCGGCCCCGCCCGACTTTAGGACTTTCTTTACTAGTTTAATATGTAGAACTATGCGCATTTCCAGGCCAAACAAAGCAGCAAAAATATTTTGTTGTGGCACTCCAGAAAAACAGCAATTAGTACGTAACTCCAACAACGGTGAATGGCAAGGAATTCCAAAAATAGTTTTCAAAATACAAATAACCTATTACTACTGCACAAACTTCGAAATTTGAATTAAAATTATTTTTCTTGGCACAGCAATGTTTGGAGAAACCAGTGGCAGATATTTGGTCATACAAACACGCATTTAAAGGAATATTAACAATGAAGAAAAAAAATTAAAGGAATATTAACAATGAAGAAATCGAGTAGTGTATTGGAAATGGGTAGGGTTCGTATAATTTATAGCAAAAAGACCAAGACTCAACAAACTTTCTGAGAGGACGGAATCAACCAACATCATATTCGAGTTGTAATAACTTGTATGTACATATCGCCCATTTACTCAAAGAGCGGTATAAATCAGCCAATGAGTTTTTCAGCTATTAACTTTTTTTCACAATTCTAACCTAATCTTTCTATCAAATTTTGTTGGTATCTGTAGAATTCAAGAAATTACAAAGTTTATTCTTTGAGTTTGACATTAATCAACAAATAGTATATTAAGTTTATTAATCCCTTACATACTTCAAACCAGAAACTTAACACTGATATCTGGGGACCTCTTTGCTAAAAATTGTCTGTATAGTTGAATTACTTTTTGTGTACGAAGTTGTATGTCAAGTTCTCCCTAATAATTAGACCAATTTGACTTAAAAGATAAAAGGTAGTAACAACTACATAACTTTTGCGGACGGGAAATTGGAAGACAACCCAAATTATACTTCCGGGAAACTTTACCCGCCATTTTTTGATGTTTAAAACCATATAGCTGGTGTACCATATTACTTTTGGGGGCCGAAACAATTTTCATTGCATATAAGAGAAAATCTTGGAAGAAATCAGCTATCTGCGATTACTGTGAATATTACATTCCCAATGAATAACTATTTGAAAATTCTAAAGAAAATTGGCGTCTATGAAAATACATTCGATTTTTAATAAAATGTGTTTAATATTTCTTTTAATTTCTAATTTAAAATGGCACATATGGAATATTTTACTAAGATTTTAATTTTTTAATATTTTGTAATTGTATGTTTTTGGTTAAAAATTAGATTTTTATAGTTAATATATTATTATGCCACATTTTCAACCGTGATGTTCGCTAAATATACCAATTCCTGCAGCCAACAGTTGTCTGCAAAGGTCCACGTTTTCATATAGCTCATATAACGTGGAAAAGGTAAATAATATTTTTTGTCACAAACCTCTGCAGATGGGGCCTTTAGGTACTCCATTTTCTTAACTCAATCAGTAAATAATGTCGATATGTACTTTTACACAATTTTTAAATTTGCTAAAAAAGTGATGAATTTGTACTACTCGTTTGGATAACGGTAAATAACATTTGAACAGTATTTTCAAGCAAACAAAATTGGAGCCAGGCTTATTACATCTTAAGAAAGTTTACTAATTATTTTTTTAGTGATTTTTTTAACAATAATAGGACAAAAATGCTGATTATCTACGGATTAATACCAATTTTTAAAGTTTTTTCTGTAAATTTTACGTATGTTCCGTTATGAAAAACTTACCTTCATTTATTCCATAATTATATTTTTAAATACATAAATACATGCCTTTGCTATAATCTGGAACTGACAGAGACAATAAAGTGGAGTTTACTTATCTTTCTAGTTCTAAACCATATTGACATTGTCTGCAAACACAAATAAAATGAATATATTTTTTTATCTGATATTGAATCCACAATCTCATTAACAAAAAGTAGTTTACACAAGTAAAAAAACCTTAAGTTCGGCTGAACTCTTAATACTTTCCACCATTGGGTAAAGAAAACATTTTCAGAAGAGTAGTGTGGCTTGTTTGTTCGGGATACCGTAGTATTTTGTTGTTGCAAAATGGTTAGGCTTATCCCTTTATTGTTGTTTTTATAAAAACAACGTTTGTTTATTAGTGGAGAACGATGGTAAAGTTTACCAGGGGGTAAGGCAGGGAAAACCTAAGTTTCGGAAAGAGCCACCAATCCTCATCAGTTTCCTTGCTTTTTGTCTGGGATATTCTCCCCAGAAGTTATTTTAAAAATAACTTCTATGACGACTAACTAAAATTCTTTTGGAAAGTCTTCTAAATCTTACAACCGCACCTATAAACATTTATATCTTTCTCTACTTGTTATGCTTTCGTTCAACCTGAACGAAGTAGCATAACCATGTAAGTTGGTTTTGTCTGTTACAACAGGCTTTATCCAGATTGATGGCTCTTTCCGAAACCTAGGTATTCCCTTTCCGAAACCTAGGTATTCCCTGCCTTACCCCCTGGTAAACATTACCATCGTTCTCCACTAGTAAACAAACGTTGTTTTTATAAAAACAACAATACTACAGTATTCTACAGTACTACAGTATTCCGAACAAACAAGCCAACACTGTTCTATTATATAGACAAGGCACGATCGACGAAGGGGTTTTTGTTGTAACAGACAAAACCAACTTACATGGTTATGCTACTTCGTTCAGGTTGAACGAAAGCATAACAAGTGGAGAAATATGTATTGGTGGCTCTTTCCGAAACCTAGGTATTCCCTGCCTTACCCCCTGGTAAACATTACCATCGTTCTCCACTAATAAACAAACGTTGTTTTTATAAAAACAACAATAAAGGGATAAGCCTAACCATTTTGCAACAATGATAACATTTTCATATGAAAGTATCTGAATTCAAACGTGTTCCACTTCAAACAACAAATACCAGCAAGACCTTTGGAAAATGCTGTTAAACCATAAAGTGGAAAAAATGGAAACCTCTATAGAAAATTTTATACCAAGTTTATATAAACACCAAGTTTGAAACAATTTCGTGGAAAAATGTGACTGGGATTAACAAAACACCGAATATCGGTGGTTATATTTATAAGTGCGCTATATATACTAACAGGATCTAGAACCCATTATGACCTACAAATACCAATTTTTAGACAAATCCGTGGAAAATGTGGTATAAATCATCAAAATACCCAATATTGGGAGGTACCGTTATATGGGATCTATACAAAAACGTGGACCTATACATACAATGTTTCCCCACCGGAGCTAGAACACATTTTGACCTACAAATAACAATTTTTAGACAAATCCGTGGAAAATGTGTCAAAAAATATGGCGGCTATACCAAAACGTGGTATGGTCCATTTCATCCGCTGTGCTGTGTCGATCCCAATCGGAAAATCTCTTGTTGGACCATTGCATTGCTAACCCTGACTCAACGCCTAATTTCGTGAGGTTTGCGTCATAATTGTGACGTGTAGCGTGACTACAAATAAAAAAGTGAAAGACGGACACACATAGCTTAATCGACCCAGCTCGGAGATATAGGTATATACATATGTAAAATCGTGGGTCTAGAACTAATATTTCGAGGTTTGTGGCATCACCTAACGTTTGGCGGATTAGGTTGATATTTCCGACAACCCCATTTACACTTTTATTTGAAATGGAAAATCCAAAACCGGCACCCGGACATAATTCCCACGGTCTCAATCCCCATTGCAATTATGGGGATTATGCCCGGTTTGTTTTTGGTTATAATCCCCTGGTTTATGTCCGGGCACCGACACGCCACCTCTAAAACCAACGGACGTAATAATTTAAACAAATAAATAAATAAACAAATTTTCTTTTTGGAAACAAACAATTTTTGACAGTAGGGCAATGGGTAAAATGAGCTTTTACTCCCAGACGAAAAAAGTAAATGAACTGAAATAAAAACTTGATTGTCTGGGTAGCAATTGCTTGTCTGTATAAACAAAAGTTCTGTGAACAGGCTTTAAAGCTCCAAATCCAGCTCGCCTCAATTATCAACTACACTTATAAAAAAGTAATCATTTTTGTCTCAGTTTTTTTATGAACTAAAGATATAAAAATAAGAAAGAAATTACTAAAGAATACATAAATAATACTTGTCTAGTACAGAAGGTATAAAAAGTGTTTATGCAAACAAAATAATAAAAAACCAAAACGCGCCTTTCATGCATTTAATTTTTGCAAAACTTAATTATTTCACTGAACGAACTTTGTTTTTAGAACTATAGATCCAGCAGTTTTAAAACCAATAAAATCTATATGTCCATTGTCGGTGGATGATGATTACAACCTTAACTTATTAGCGGTGACCCAATGTGGCGTTCGATTATTTTTTGCTACAACGCCAATAAGCAACCAAAATGCAAATCAAAATCATCAAGGCACTCTAGTTACAGCACAAAATTGTTCCCCTACTAGAAACACAACAGAATCGACAGCAAAGTTAGGCTCACCGGTGAACCCAATGCCATTCGAACAAAAACAGCAAGGTTTGTACTTATTGCATGTGCGTCTTCCACCTGGCTATACTCCGAACACAACAATAAATAAGCCTAAACAAGTTCATTCTGCTCTCTACAATGAGGGTACACTACTTCTGGTGTCAACTCCTCAGCAAGATCAAGATATTTTATGGTCAGTAAGTTCCGCTCCCTTCCCAAAACGAGCTCACCTCACGGAGTCTACAACTGTTATACCTTTGGATGGAATTGTTTGGAGCTTGGCTGAAATACCTAATCGTTGCAACGCAACTTTAAAATCCATTCTTCGTAAAGCTCAAAAACCAAATAAAGTAGTGCTATTAACAAATCAAGGTGCACATATCATAGCATTACTGAAACCAATCGATATCCTACAACAATTACTGATAGCTTGCCATGGACCCCATCATGAGGCCGTCAAGGCATTCTTCCAGGTAAGTAAAATTGTTATTTGCTAAGAATCATATTTTTAAACATAGCAATTAATATAGGTTCAGGGAGAGAGAGAGGCATGTATTACTGCCTTACTTTTGACTTGTTGTGAACAATACCGTGGTACTGATTTGGCTATGTGGGCTGCCCAATCCTTTTTATTGTATGGCGGAGAACCGACATTGTCTAATCAAATACCGATAATCAATCGAGGAGGCGTGGATTCGCAGGGTAATCGTTCCTATTTGGGAAAATCCGGCGCTCAGGAATCCCACCAAATGCCACAAATGTTCATATCTACCCCCATGCCAAACGCAGTTGGTGGAAATGGAGTTAATCGACTCATCGAAAATAGCGCTATTCAAAGACCCTTTGCGGGAGCACAATACCCCTTAAGTCCAAGTAAGATCTCCGTAATTTCCATTATAACATTATTCTCAGTTTCCCTTTATAATTTGTTTTCCAGTTTACAACCCTTCCTATTCCGTTGGACCTGGAATTTCCCCATTAAATGACGTGAATGTGATTATATATTCTTCTAAACACGATAGTTTGTATATTTATATAGCCCGTCTTTTGCGACCGATTTGGAAAATACGTTGCGTCGATGACAAACTCAATAGCAGATTAAGTCAGGTCGATTGCACTGTTATATTAGAAGATCTGTATGCAGTCAGACAATTTTTGGAATATAACTCCGTTAACGATCTATCCTGTAAGAAGATATCGTAGTATATATATATATTCATATATTTGTTTATTTATTTATTTTTACTTCTTCCATTGTTCCAAAAGTTACTATACGTCCTTTACACAACCAACACAGCATGACTGCAGGCTACAGCGCGTTACCTCGCATAAGTACCCAAACAAACGATATTCAAGCGAATGCTACTGAACAGGCACAAGCCGAGGAAAAAAGATCCCTTACAGCCTTGATATATTTTATAAGTGAGTAGAGATCATTATTATAGAAGAAAGAATGACTGCACTAGGGTATTAAATATTTCTTCATTTCATTCACAATATCTTTTCAGAACATGCATGTGAAGTATTAGCCTTATGGAAAATTTTGTGTGAGCATCAATTTCACATATTAGCTTCTCAGTTAATGAAGGATCAACAGTCTTCATTAACTACATGTTCCTTCAGAGATTTGATATTATCACGCTCAGAGTTGTGTGCTTTCTTAATTGTTGCACTAATTAACAGTTACTTGAAAGATAATGCGTCAGTTAGTACAATATCATCAAAATTACGAGATGTTTGCCCGAATCTATACCGTCATGAGGACGCTGTCTCTTTTAAAGCAACAGAAATTTTAATGAATTCCAAAAATTGCACTGTTTTGGAAGAAAAACAAGAAAAGTTACGAACAGCATTGCAGCTGTGCAAAGACGCGGCACCTAATTTGCCATTACAAAATATATGCCAGCAGGTATGTGCAAAATAAATTTATTAAATTCATTTACAGGTTTGTAACAAATATTTTAACATTTCAGTTTACGCTTTGTGGTTTTTATGAAGGCGTTATAGAACTAACATCGACATGTGCATCAAAAATAGATCACGAAGAATATGGAATACATTTTTACTTAAATGGAGAACCCGATGATGACAGGGAAGGTTATGCAACATATGCAGCTCGGTAAGACATAAAATCGTATAATATGTAACCGGTTTGATTTACATTTTTGTTTTTAGTTTAAATTGTTATAAAGAAGTAAGGCTTATGCTCGATCACGTTTATCAATCAGTTTGCAACAACAACACCAACCAAGATATTTTGAATATTTCTTGCACCAAGTCAAATATAAACTCAAATGCGCAAATTATGGAAATTGTTGGTATGGCAGTGCAAGTGAAAGATCCGCTTTTACATGTGTGTGTTTATGAATGGTTATTGGTCCATGATATGCTATCTGAATTGTTATCATTAGCAGAACAGTCATTAGGAGAATTTTTGCGTCGAAATGTTGTTCGAAATCCTAATAATATAAATTTAATTGACCTCCTTTGGAAGTATTACGAAAAGAATGGACATCATGCTCAAGCTGCCCGTATTTTAGATAACCTTGCATCAACTGTTGGGGATGAAATACCCCTGCAACAAAGAATCGAGTATTTGGCCAGAGCTGTGATGTGCATGCGCAATGATGGAGTTGGATATTCAATTACAAATGGTGTCTTGCTTAAAGAGTTGGAAGACAAGGTAGTATATTTATTTCTTTATACATATGTATGTGTAAGCCTATTAAAGCAATATTAAATAATGATTTCGGGAACTTATACTAAGTGATATTTTAGTAATACTGTATAATTTTATATTTTTGTGGGGTCTTATAGATATTTCGAAATTATTTGAATTTTATTTCTATTTTTTTTAACTTATTTTTATTTTTAATTGTCCCCTTCTTGACACCACTTATTCCACACCTTTCGATCGTTGGATGATAACTATGCGAAATGTGAATGATTCCTGACATTTAAATTTGAAAGTTCAATCAAAATTTCTGTATTCTGTACGCATTTAAAGAATGCTTGCATAATTTCATTAGCAATAATTTCTAAATAGAAATAAATATTAATGGCAAAAATTATTAGATATTTTGAATAGCTTGATTTAATTTTCAGCCATAGGCTTTAATTTGAGTTTTAAAAACCTATATAATAAAGAATATCTATAATAGCCCCATGTAAAAACTCAGCACAATTTTTGGTATTGTAAAGAGCTTAGCAACATTTTCCATTCAAATGAGCTGCACTTTGGAATTTGTATTTCCAACGTTTTGAATACCGTGCTGCGTGGTATTTAGTTTTGTCCACCTCATAATTGAGGGCAGAATTATTTCATAGTCAAAGATAATTACTCTTACACCCATTACCATAAGATGGGAATTCATTTTCCCCCCATAAAGTCCATATTTATCATCACAGTATAATTCAATGACGATTTAACAAATGTTCAGTCCCGTATAACTTTCTAATATTCGTATTTATACCCTACAACACTATGTGTTTAATAATACCCCCATTATTAGTTTGATTGGGCCAAACATTATGTAACACCTCGAAATATTGGTTTCCCACATAGGAACGTATATATGGATTTTCCTATCTCGCCGAGCTGAGTCGATCTAGCTATGTATGTCCGTCCGTCTGTCCATCTTAATTTTTAATCACTCTACAGCCCGATCTTCACTAAATTTAGAATGGAGGTGGAGCTAGAGCCAGAATAGAAGCCTATTGCTTTTAGAGATGATCGCATAATATTTAGGGGTAGAAATGGACCAAAAACTGGAACATTTCTCTACAGGTCACAATTATAGACCGATCGAAGCGGAAGTTATCATGGGGCTGGAGCTTAGGGCTAGGAAGAATCCTTCCAATTTTGATGGTCATCGGGCAATATTTAGTGATTGCACGTACGCACGATAACTCTCGAAGGGAGTAACCGATTTGGTCCAAACTGGGTACATCGTAATATTTTTGTCGAGTTCGGAGATGGGTAATATCGGTCCACTCCTTCTGGTAACCCCAGTGCTAGGTCAGGTGTAAAAATGCACAATATCGGCCCACTCCATCAAGTACCTTCCCCACAAATGGTCACAATTTTGAATAGTTACAACTCTTATAAAATGAGATGTAAGGTCCGATTGTCATCAAATTTCACACAAACCAATAATTTTATTAGCCCACGGTCTGGTGTTAAGATGGAGTATATCGGTCCACTCCTTCTGGTACCTCCCCCACAAAAGTTCCACAATTTTCAAATAAAAAATATATTTGCTGCACAGAAAGGAAAGCAATAATGTAATTTTGCTTTAATTTTGCAAATCCTAATATTTGCGTCAGTTCTAGGTCAGGTAACAAAATTAGGAAAGCAATCAACATCCGATTCTATTCCAGACATGGTAAATCTCATTATTTCCATCAACACAAGGTCTGTTATATAGATGGAGAAATTTCTTTTGATACCTACTCCGCATAGGGTTCAAGATTTTGAAAAACATAACGCTCAAAGTAAGCGACATAAGCATCCAACTCTCTTCAGATTTCACACATTACAACATTTTGCTAACACAAGATTTGTTGTAAAGATACTATATATATATACCAACCCCTTCTCATATCTCTATATATATATATATATCATATTTATTTAGGTCCGATACGAAATGGATAATATTGAACCATTCCTTCAAAACCACCTACCATAGAGGGTCAAGAGGGCTGAGGGTATACATATTTTTTTTAATTTTATTGAATGAAAGCAAAAAATGTCGGAAATAGCATCAAATTTTAGAATAAATTTAGAATTGGTCACCTTTGGCACGAATTATGGCCTTCAATCGGCCAATGAAACCGTTACACGCTGCCCGAATGTTGCACTGCGGTATTTTGGCCCATTACCGGCGAAGCGCTCGCTTGAGGTGATCGACACTTTGGTATTTTTTAGTGCCAAAATTGCTTTCCAAAATACTCCAACGGATTGGTATCCGGAGATTTTCGTGGCTATTGTGTGCTGGAAAAGAAGCGAGGAACCTCATTTTGTAACCATTCTTCGGTGGCGCGTGTTGAGTGCGATGGTGCTGAGTCCTATTGGAATGTCCAAGGACTGCGGCCTCGGTCGATTAATACGAGCGGATAGCGGCTGTTATCGCGTCCCACACCATCACCATGCCCTTGATGGCGCTTGAGTTCTGGTGGCCAACCGAAGGTGCACATTTTCAGCTGACCTCTTTGGCAAGTAAAGCCGAACCAAATTCGGCAGTTCACGACTTTAGGCAACTCTTTAGCACTTTTAAGTTTTTTTCTTTCTGTTCTTGCATTTTTGTAAGTTCTTGCACTTTTTAGAATTTCAATGGCTTTACCCTGAGCTCAATTTTCAATGTTTGCCCAATGGAATATTGCGATATGTTAAGCGCACGTGCCATTTTTCGGCCACTGCGACGCGGTTTTTGATCAAGTCGCTTTTTTACTTTCGAACCATTTCTGCTGATGTTGCTGTTTTCTTCCGTCCAGTTCCTTGACGTCGGGCAACGCTACCAGTATTACGGTAACGAGCGATGGTACGAGACACAAAAGATTTATTCACAGTTAAATACTGGAGTGCTCTAACGACAGCCACTTGTGGTTTTCCAGCCAAATATAAAGAAATCACGCTATCACACCTGAATTCCATCACGAATAACTTTTTTTTCTGAAAAATTCTCACCAAAATTTTTTTGTACGCTTGTTAACAATATAATGAACTGTACTGGAATAATTTTAACAGCTGCCGGACGAGTGACTTAGAAATGGTAGCAGTCTGAAGTAGGTTGCAGTTTTTTCATCTCACTCTGTATATAGCGAAATATATAAAAAAGGAAGGGGTTGTTAGCTAGAATGCTTATATCTCAAGATTGGCTGGACCTATTTTGACAAATTTTGTCAATTCATAATTAGCTTTTGGCATAAAAATATAAAATGTAAAAGATGCCAATAATGATGTTAATATAGATTTTGTAGTATTTTGTGACATCTTTTTATTTTTCAAATATTTTTTTTCACCATACAACACAGGTTGGGGTTATATACAGACTGTAATTTTTATGCTGATTTCATTGACGAATATAGCCAAAGCAAATCATATAGATGAGTCTAAATTTGGAGATATGAGAGGCCTCTTGCTTTTGGAGATGATCGCAAAATATCAAGGGGTTCAATTGAACTAAAAACAGAAAAAATTTCCTGATCACACAATTGAAGCCAATCGACACGTCTGAGAAGAGAGTTAAGGGCAGGGAAAAATTCTAGCATTTTGGATGATTATTGTAAAATTTAGCTGTAAAATGACGACGACGGAGTGCGTAAATATTGGGCAAATGTCCCTGGTCAAAATGGTCTGATCACAGATTGGTTAGGAACGAGGACTTGGGGGTGCACATAATTTGGGGACTATACTTAAATAAATGCCTATGTGGACAATTAACTGTAAGATGGTTCTCTACTCCAGAATAGCCTAAATACAATTTTTTAGTCAAATCAATTGATATTGTGGTCTAGACCAATTGTAAGTTGTATTCGAATAGGGTTTTGAAACTCCTTTAGATAACCCAAATTGGAAACAAATCGTACATTATATAAAAATAACAGAAAAGAAAAATCAAATGTTTAAAAGTCCTTACGAGGTTGTCAAAAGAATGTACTATTATTTTGAAATTAGATTCCATTGAAAAAAATTTCACTATTTTTTCCGGCTTTAGAATTTTTACAATTTTTGGCGATTTTAAAAAAGTAATTATCTATTCAGTTTCGCCACCGCATAATTCGATACTACAATATAGCCCGCCTGCAATTTCAGTTGTTAAAAAATCGAGTCAATTAAATAAAATTAATCAAATTGAAAAAAAAAAGTTCGTACACGGTAAAGTATTGTAAAGATCATAAAAGAATTAAAAAACTACAAATGTACATTTGAAAATTGTAAGTCAAAATGAAAAAAAAAAAACATACAACATAACATATATATATATATATATAATATATATATAATATATATAATATATATATATATAATATATATATAAAAGAGGAAAATGTTTGTTTGTTTGTAATTTGTGGACTCGAAAACCGCTGAACAGATTTTCCTTAAAATTTCCATATATACAGCAACATCGCCTGAAAGTAACATAGGCTATATACATTTTTGAATTTCCACTTGGAACTGGAGATATAGCATCAGAATCGGAGGTACCTCCCAAAAATTTAGATTTTATATGCACATATTTATTGATTGGTTGAAGATACAGTCTCCAAATTTGGAATACGTAACGGAATTTGGAACAAAAATAAGTTTGAAAAATTATATTGTAATCGGTTCAGATTTGGATATAGCTCCCATATATATTTTCGACCGATTTCGTTCATTTGATGCCTCAAACACAATATGAATGTTCGATTCCCATGAAATTTGGAATGTGTGACGGGATTTAATCCGAAAATAAATTTGTCAAATTATATTGAAATCGGTTCAGATTTGGATATAGCTCCCATATACATTTTCGGCCGATTTCATGTATTTGGTGGACCAAACACGATATGTATTTCCAATTGTAATGAAATTTAAAATAAGTAACGGAATTGGGAGCCAAAATGAATTTGTCAAATTAAATTGAAATCGGTTCAGATTTGGATATAGCTCCCATATATATTTTGAGGTTTGGATAT